AAGGAGAAAAAGTTAACCAAAAAACTACTCTTTTTATTGTTTACCTCGAAGAACAAATTATCAGTGTTTCAGTTTACATCCCTTGGCAGCCCGAGGTTATAGGTGAAATTGGAAACTTCCAAAAGGATGATAAAAAATGCTTTGTCAAGGTTTATTACCGTAATCCTTACTCAAAAAAATTACAGTTTAAAAAGCATGGCAAATATTAAACAATTTTTTCTTTTTAGTGCTTTTCACAAAAACCAATCCAACCAATCCAAATTAGTTCGTCTAATTCTTATTAATTTATTTTATATAGTTTTGAAATAAAATAAATAAAATTATATTAAGAAGTAATAAAAACTTCTCTGCCATACTAGATGGCTTTAAAAACAAGACTTTTGAGAAGTCTATAATAACATAACAACCAAAGAAGTTAATTACTTCTAAATTGCAAACCTAAAAAACAAACGCTAAACTGTTTAAATTAGCAAATAAAACATACAAAAATAAGAATAATTTATTAAAAATATGCCAAAAAAAACATTACAAGGCTGATATAACAGCAACGAAATAAGTTATAGTCAAAAAGAAATAATAAGTAAATTTGGAGTAGGAGATTATTATCCTGAATGCGAACGAAAAGATTTTTTAAAAATATGATATTGAAATGATATATTAGAAAGAAATATTAGAGGAATTAGTGGATTGGGAAACAGTTTTAATATTAATGAAGATTTGATTAGGCAGATGAATTTTTTTTCAACTTGGTGAAATAACAATTTAATAATAGTTATTGATGGTGAGGAAAATAATTACCATCTAAAATTAATTGTTTATGAAATGCCTTATAGGAAAAATGGAGAAACTAAAATGAGGGAAATTTTTGAAGTGCTTTTTATTGATTGAATTTGCCCTGGGGATTTATATGAGGCTACAAATAAAGCCAAAGAAGCAGAAGAAAAATTGCGAAGTGATAACCCTATTCTGGGAGCAAGTAGTATTCCTAAATTAAATATTTCTTATTATGATGACTACGATAGTAGTATTTTTCCTGCTTTTTATGGATCGTGAGGCAGTGAAAAAATAAAAAGAATTGAGTTAAGAGGTTCAGAGTTCTTTTCAGCCAAAAACAACCCCGATGACTATTTTAAACCTTTGGATATTGTAAAAATATTTATTTCTTCTAGATATGACTCAAATAGGGAAGGAACAAGGCACGCCGGTATATATTTAGGTAATAGACAAGTTTGTCATCTTTTTGTGGTTGACCGTGCTACAAAGAAATTTGAAATTATGATTGAAGATTGGAATGAACTTTTTGAGTTATTTGAGGAACCTGGCAAGGTCGATAAAATAATTCGTTATCATCCAGTAATTGCTTTTAAACATGAAGACAAGGTAATTGAACATATTGCCAAAAGTATTACAAAAACCGATGGCTATTATTCTCGCCAATTTAAAACACCTTCTACTTCTTTCGAATATGACACTAAGTATGACAAATATAACAATAATTGCGAGCATATGGTAAATAAGTGCGTGCTAGGTCTCGACTTTTCTGATTATGCCGAAAAGTTGACAGGAAATCGTAATAGGGAGTTTGATGCCTCAAAGGAAAAAATTGACAATGTTAGTGAAGAGTTTGACAGAAAATATAATTACAAAGGCAGTATAAGTGAAATAAGAGAATATGGAGAACGAGCCTTTGATGTTAACCGAGACGGATATAATATGTATAATGAATGCATCGAAGTTCAACCTAAAACAACTATATTTAAGGATATGTATAGAGAATATTTAAATAGACAATAAACTCATGACAAGAAAAAAGTATAAAATTTACGAAAGTATTCCAAGAACACCGGAAGAAAGAAAATGAGTAGAAAACCAGTTAAATAAAGAAAGAACACCCGAAGAGTTAAAAAAAGCGATATTAGGAGTAGAAATAGATCATTATGGATGGAACTGAAGTGTATACTTTAACAAAAGAATTGGTTGTAGGGCTTCAACTTGTCCAGACGAACCAGAAATTTATTGAAAAGAATTTGAGGAACAAGGAGAATACGCAGATAGCCACTTTTCAGAAATAAAAAGGGGTTTCATAGTCATAATTAAACAAAACCCCCAAGAATGGAAAATTAAGGAGAAAAAGGTGCCTGGATATATTATATTTAATGGGTTGCCAAGAGAGGAGTGAAAAGCAAAGGATGTGGTAGTGGAAAAAGAGTGAGGCAGGACACATTGAAAAAATGGATTTACCGAAGAGGAGTGAGCGGAAATTGAAAACATTCTAACTCCTAACAAAAATAACACACCAATCGTAAAAAAATGTGGATTTTCCGATTGTGAAAGGAGGATAAGTTGAGAGAAAACCGAATGTAATAATTGTTGAAATAGGAAAGAAAACTATGTCTGCGATGCTTGTTGTCAGAAAAAAAGTTATAATATATCTTTTCTTATTGGTGTTCGTGATTTCATTCATGAAACCGATATCGCTCTCAAAGGGGTTCGTGGACTAATTACTAAACTCCCTAAATTTTACGATAAACTTAAAGAAGTTGAGAAATCGCTAATTTTAACGGATGAAGAAAAGAGAGCAGAAGAGAAAAATCACTCGTTTAGAATTAATTATTTACGGGAAAAAAATGATGGTTGACAACACCGAGATAACATTCATTTATTTAAACTTTGTCGGAAATGCCTTGATGGGTTAGCAGAGAGGGAAAAAAATTTTTTTTCAGAAAATCCAGATGTCAGAAACATCATAGAAAAATGAGAAAGCAACCGAAAAAAACACTCTGAAATTTTTAGACAGATAGCAGATGAAATAGGAGTAGAGGAATGAAAAAGAATTTGCGATGAGAATGATAAGGAGTTAGGGCTGAAAGTGGAGGAAGGAAAAAATAGCGAAAAGGAGAAATTACCTGAAAAATGACCGACTCCTG